ACAAAGTGTGCTTGCTCATTGCCATGAATCTGGTTATTCCGGTAGTTCTGCGCACATCCGGAGACGTCAAACAAGAAGTTATTTTCGACATTCGCTCGGACCCGACCCCCAGACACACAGATATCCAAATCAGTGGCGTCTGTGTTGTTGACGTTTAAGTGGCATAAAGTGGTTCTCTTGTACTCCAAGAGCTCAGACCGAGACTTCTCAGCAGTCGCGCGAACCATACAAAACACATTACAAATACATAACATCGATGTGACGCGAGTGAGCACTTGGAGCGATACCTTTCACTACGGATACACTGAAAACCCATTTCAAAGGATTGTTGAACAGACTTATCAGACAACAAGAAGTGAGACATTATCTCAAACACTAATTGTTGTTTCCAATGATTTCTTAATAGAAAGCAATATTTTTATTTTCTTTTTCGTAGTCTATGTAATCATAGGTTTCTATTTTGAACACTTGGGCCTTATGTTGAGTCTTGAAGAGAGAGGTTTACTAACAGACGGACAATATTTTGTAGTCGGCGTTGATATTGAACAGTATGACAGACAACACCCCTCCAGATATTTTAAAGGTAGCTTTTGAGATGATACTGTTTTTGCTATTAATACTCATTAATTTAAAATTATACTTCAAATGTGTGCTATAATTGAATTACTTTTGAAGGACTACTGAACGATGACTTTGAAATCATAGAATTGGCTGAAAAGTCATTTCAGTCATACATAGGAGTAGTGCCGACGCCTCCCATTGAATTTGAGAAGTTCTCGTTTAAAGTGAACCAGTTCATGCAATTGCCACCTTTCAACTTCCCTAACCCCACGTGGGAATGGGGAGGGCTTAAGAGAGTATGACATCTTTAATAGTTATGCATATTATGTGAATATTCAGTGATTAGCGTAGAGTGTGATTATCATTTGAAAGGTTCCGGCAGAAGGGGCTTATCTATACGATGCCGTCTATGTGTACGCCAGAGCTCTTAACGACACCCTCAAAAATAATGGAAATCCTTTTGATGGAAAACTCATCTTTAAATATATAAAGAATAGAGAATATAGAAGTCAGTCTCCAGTATACTATAATTGATATGTTTATGAATACAAATATTAATATATTGTTTCCAATAAAATATTACTTGAAATGTAAGGCGCGATGGGATATATGGTTCATATGAACGAAAATGGAGACGCGGAGGGAAATTACACTTTAATTGCCCGAAAGAATGCCAAAAGTAAATCAATGAAATTTGGTTTATATCCGATCGGAGTATTTCTTATGCCTCAAAACTTATCAGAATTACCAGTAATTTATGCTTTTATTTATCGAAACGAGAATTTTCATATGTTTTCAATCAAATAGATTCTCGAATTGATTGATTCAATTGAATGGATTAGTGGAAAGCCTCCATCAGCTGAACCAGTTTGTGGATTTGATGGACAGAGTTGTCCGAGTATTAACTTTTTATTGTTTTTGTTTATATGAGAATATCTAATAATTGAATAACTTTAGAAACCCTGTGGAGGTGGGCACTGATACCAGCGATTGGCTTCCTTCTAGTCTTATTACTAGTGTTTGTAATGTATAAGAATTGGATGTATGAACAGGAGTTGGACAGCCTTTTATGGAAAATTGATTTCAAAGAATTGATTTTTAGTGAATACACTCCAATCACTACTAAATTGAAAGTAAGCAAATTAGTATATTAAATAACATAAAAGTATTTTANATGTTTGTAATTTGGATCTATAATATTTTGAATTTAGGATTCAGATTTATTGTAAAAGTTTCAAGTTATAATGTATTAGTTATAATGTATTAGTATTATTGTAATAGTATAGTAAAATATGCTCTAAATTTAATTACAACGATTATAATAAAGTGTTACATTATTGTTTTTAAATCTTAATTATAAATAAAATACTTTTATGTTATTTAATATACTAATTTGCTTACTTTCAATTTAGTAGTGATTGGAGTGTATTCACTAAAAATCAATTCTTTGAAATCAATTTTCCATAAAAGGCTGTCCAACTCCTGTTCATACATCCAATTCTTATACATTACAAACACTAGTAATAAGACTAGAAGGAAGCCAATCGCTGGTATCAGTGCCCACCTCCACAGGGTTTCTAAAGTTATTCAATTATTAGATATTCTCATATAAACAAAAACAATAAAAAGTTAATACTCGGACAACTCTGTCCATCAAATCCACAAACTGGTTCAGCTGATGGAGGCTTTCCACTAATCCATTCAATTGAATCAATCAATTCGAGAATCTATTTGATTGAAAACATATGAAAATTCTCGTTTCGATAAATAAAAGCATAAATTACTGGTAATTCTGATAAGTTTTGAGGCATAAGAAATACTCCGATCGGATATAAACCAAATTTCATTGATTTACTTTTGGCATTCTTTCGGGCAATTAAAGTGTAATTTCCCTCCGCGTCTCCATTTTCGTTCATATGAACCATATATCCCATCGCGCCTTACATTTCAAGTAATATTTTATTGGAAACAATATATTAATATTTGTATTCATAAACATATCAATTATAGTATACTGGAGACTGACTTCTATATTCTCTATTCTTTATATATTTAAAGATGAGTTTTCCATCAAAAGGATTTCCATTATTTTTGAGGGTGTCGTTAAGAGCTCTGGCGTACACATAGACGGCATCGTATAGATAAGCCCCTTCTGCCGGAACCTTTCAAATGATAATCACACTCTACGCTAATCACTGAATATTCACATAATATGCATAACTATTAAAGATGTCATACTCTCTTAAGCCCTCCCCATTCCCACGTGGGGTTAGGGAAGTTGAAAGGTGGCAATTGCATGAACTGGTTCACTTTAAACGAGAACTTCTCAAATTCAATGGGAGGCGTCGGCACTACTCCTATGTATGACTGAAATGACTTTTCAGCCAATTCTATGATTTCAAAGTCATCGTTCAGTAGTCCTTCAAAAGTAATTCAATTATAGCACACATTTGAAGTATAATTTTAAATTAATGAGTATTAATAGCAAAAACAGTATCATCTCAAAAGCTACCTTTAAAATATCTGGAGGGGTGTTGTCTGTCATACTGTTCAATATCAACGCCGACTACAAAATATTGTCCGTCTGTTAGTAAACCTCTCTCTTCAAGACTCAACATAAGGCCCAAGTGTTCAAAATAGAAACCTATGATTACATAGACTACGAAAAAGAAAATAAAAATATTGCTTTCTATTAAGAAATCATCGGAAACAACAATTAGTGTTTGAGATAATGTCTCACTTCTTGTTGTCTGATAAGTCTGTTCAACAATCCTTTGAAATGGGTTTTCAGTGTATCCGTAGTGAAAGGTATCGCTCCAAGTGCTCACTCGCGTCACATCGATGTTATGTATTTGTAATGTGTTTTGTATGGTTCGCGCGACTGCTGAGAAGTCTCGGTCTGAGCTCTTGGAGTACAAGAGAACCACTTTATGCCACTTAAACGTCAACAACACAGACGCCACTGATTTGGATATCTGTGTGTCTGGGGGTCGGGTCCGAGCGAATGTCGAAAATAACTTCTTGTTTGACGTCTCCGGATGTGCGCAGAACTACCGGAATAACCAGATTCATGGCAATGAGCAAGCACACTTTGTCAACTGTTTCATATGTTTGTTGTCCAAATTAACGCTAATATAATTGATAATTCACTCAAATCTATCGAATCTATTGTTTGTTTTTTATCATTACATTAATTAAGAGTACAATGACTTCAACTTAATTATCACAAAACAAATCCACAAAAACTCAAATTAAGTTCAGACGACTTAATCCTTTAGACTTCACATCAATTGAAATCAATATTTGAAGCAAACTATATATTGCACAGCAAGTAAAGTATAGCAAACACAGACAATATATAGCTTTTTAATGTCTTTAACAATGGTTTATCTCAATTCAATTATTATTTAATTAGAATATCTTTCATTACAATAAATACTATTCAACTCAAGAATTCAAAGAATATGTCCTTTAGTTGTGGACAATAAATGAGTGTTTTTATGGGTAATAATGTATTTATGAATCTATACAGTAGATAAATCGATTAAATAATATCGTAATGGTATTGATATTATCGCTTATAAGTAACATTAGACCTTACGCTCAAATTTAATGTCACTTTAATAGCTGTTTTGAAAGTCGGCGTCAAACTGAGTGTTTGGATATCAATTACTCTATCATAAAGTTTATATTATAAGCCACAACAATCTTGTAACTTATTGAATTATACAGTATGTTGCTTTTACTAACAATAATTGTGCATGGTGTGTAAAGTCTTTAGAATTCATTATTTGTTGACAGTAATAATAAACTATAAATATTTGTATAAATTCCTGATTCTATGATTCTTTATTTTTTATTCAGAAACATTTCTAGAGTTATTGATCGTATCACATGAAAATACAAAATTTATTTTACAAGTTATCAGTTATACAAGTCGTGATATATTTCATATTTGGAACAAGAGTTTAATACAGGATTACAATTATTAAGACTTTATGATGAAAGTGAGAAAAAAGGTCGGTTAGCACTGTTCAGATTGGTATTACAGTAGCAGAATCTACAACAATCTGTAACTATGTTTTGTAATATCGTATTTATAAATCATAAATCATAAACATGCTTTACTTTCATTCTAATTGCCTTTATTTTAAAGTGAAATAAATATCATTAATAATTTCTATTTTCTATTTTACGAAATTCATTTTATTTACTCAAAAGTATTATTGTCACAACTTTAAAATAATAATTCTTAATTAATCAAATTTTTTATAACAGAAAATATTCTAATGTTTTCTCTATTAAATATAAGATGAATTATTAATTACTTAGTTAATCGATAGCATTGAATTTTTTATTAGAAAAATCATTTCCTTTTGTTTTTCTACCTCATTATACATAATATATTCATTCATTTGTTATTCATATTTTTTGTTACCAATTTTAGACATTAATTAAGATTTATTCCTTAGGTTCATAAACAAAAAGCTAAATAATAAGAAAATTAACATGCGCTACAATATAGTTGACACTTGAGTTGAGACAAAAAATTTACAAAATAAAAATTGATTTTAATATTAAATTAACAAATACTTTAGCATATTACTTGCTTTAAACATATTGCTGATAAGTTATACTAAATTGAAGTAGTCACTTGTCCCCAAAAAATCTTAATTACCTCATCTTAGCAAAAATCTTAAAAATTATTTTATTAATAATTATTAAATTTAGTTAAGTTTTAAAATATTAAATAATTTTTATAATAAATTTTATGACTTATCTAACAGAGAGCATAATATAATACTGTATCACATGATCAACAAATTATAATTCATCATAAGTTAGTATCTAGGCCACTAGTTAGAAATCTTCAGAACAGTTCAAATTAGAAATTCATATAAAATTAAATCATTTATAATCTTTGATCTCAAATATTAAGATGAGTTCAAATGCAAAACTCTCGAGTCATGTGAGTCTGTCGTCAAACTTCATGACACACTCTTCGAGCATATGATATAAGAGTGACTGAATTCACACCTAATTAATGAGGAAATGTCTAAAAGAGCAGAACTCACGTAAGAAATGATCGGAANAGTTCTGCGCACATCCGGAGACGTCAAACAAGAAGTTATTTTCGACATTCGCTCGGACCCGACCCCCAGACACACAGATATCCAAATCAGTGGCGTCTGTGTTGTTGACGTTTAAGTGGCATAAAGTGGTTCTCTTGTACTCCAAGAGCTCAGACCGAGACTTCTCAGCAGTCGCGCGAACCATACAAAACACATTACAAATACATAACATCGATGTGACGCGAGTGAGCACTTGGAGCGATACCTTTCACTACGGATACACTGAAAACCCATTTCAAAGGATTGTTGAACAGACTTATCAGACAACAAGAAGTGAGACATTATCTCAAACACTAATTGTTGTTTCCAATGATTTCTTAATAGAAAGCAATATTTTTATTTTCTTTTTCGTAGTCTATGTAATCATAGGTTTCTATTTTGAACACTTGGGCCTTATGTTGAGTCTTGAAGAGAGAGGTTTACTAACAGACGGACAATATTTTGTAGTCGGCGTTGATATTGAACAGTATGACAGACAACACCCCTCCAGATATTTTAAAGGTAGCTTTTGAGATGATACTGTTTTTGCTATTAATACTCATTAATTTAAAATTATACTTCAAATGTGTGCTATAATTGAATTACTTTTGAAGGACTACTGAACGATGACTTTGAAATCATAGAATTGGCTGAAAAGTCATTTCAGTCATACATAGGAGTAGTGCCGACGCCTCCCATTGAATTTGAGAAGTTCTCGTTTAAAGTGAACCAGTTCATGCAATTGCCACCTTTCAACTTCCCTAACCCCACGTGGGAATGGGGAGGGCTTAAGAGAGTATGAGATCTTTAATAGTTATACATATTATGTGAATATTCAGTGATTAGCGTAGAGTGTGATTATCATTTGAAAGGTTCCGGCAGAAGGGGCTTATCTATACGATGCCGTCTATGTATACGCCAGAGCTCTTAACGACACCCTCAAAAATAATGGAAATCCTTTCGATGGAAAACTCATCTTTAAATATATAAAGAATAGAGAATATAGAAGTCAGTCTCCAGTATAATATAATTGATATGTTTATGAATACAAATATTAATATATTGTTTGCAATAAAATATTACTTGAAATGTAAGGCGCGATGGGATATATGGTTCATATGAACGAAAATGGAGACGCGGAGGGAAATTATACTTTAATTGCCCGCAAGAATGCCAAAAGTAAATCAATGAAATTTGGTTTATATCCGATCGGAGTATTTCTTATGCCTCAAAACTTATCAGAATTACCAGTAATTTGTGCTTTTATTTATCGAAACAAGAATTTTCATATGTTTTCAATCAAATAGATTCTCGAATTGATTGATTCAATTGAATGGATTAATGGAAAGCCTCCATCAGCTGAACCAGTTTGTGGATTTGATGGACAGAGTTGTCCGAGTATTAACTTTTTATTGTTTTTGTTTATATGGGAATATCTAATAATTGAATAACTTTAGAAACCCTGTGGAGGTGGGCACTGATACCAGCGATTGGCTTCCTTCTAGTCTTATTACTAGTGTTTGTAATGTATAAGAATTGGATGTATGAACAGGAGTT